GCATTTCTGAAAATAACATTGACATTGTAAATTACAGAAATACCTTCTCAATGAGCTCAATGCAGGCAGCCAGGTCCATGCCAAAGTCAATGAACTCCCATTCRATTCCCTCCTTCTTGTAYTCCTCCTGCTCCAGCACGAACATGTGGTGGTTGAAGAACTGTTGCAGTTTCTCATTGGTGAAGTTGATGCACAACTGCTCCAGGCTGTTGAACTGCATAGTTACAAATCAAGATTATTATTAATGTTAATTTAGTAAGTTAGAGTTAAAGAACAGTGCTGGCTATTTGTACCAAACGTAGGAGGTTCTGTGAGTGTTCCTTTTTTATTCATTCAGGAGTTTGGAACTTCTATCAGTGTGTGTCTCTTTCGTAAATCTGAACTCTACCCCTATATTTCTGACTCTAGGAGCTTTGATAATTTTAGTAAATCAGATTTTTTCAGTTTTGATCTCTACTAGACTAGACTAATTCAGTTATGGGAGAGTCCAGAGCACAAGAGTATATTCAACATCCACGAATGTTGATTTCAAAGCATGTGCCAAGCCTTCAGTGATAAAGCTGCATTTAGGTATTTCCTTTGGCATATGTGCAAAACAGAAATGCGTATCCAATTAAACCCTATGGGAATCAGAATGCTTTAGATATACTATAAAAGGGTCAAAGCACTCATCAAAAAATAAAAAAAAAAAAAGAAAAAAAACTGGCAGCATTGCTTCAGAATAGTGTTACTTTAAAAAGCATGCTAGTAAACCCCTATTCCTTACATCAAAGATCTCRAAGCCAGCAATGTCCAGGACACCAATGAAGTACTGCCTGGGCTGCTTCGTATCCAGCTGCTGGTTGATGCGAACAACCATCCACAGGAACATCTTCTCAAAGACAGCCTTTGCCARGGCACCCACTGAATTRTATACCTGCAAGGTAAAACAGAAAGTGTGTAGTTATCATGCAGGACAAAAAAGGAAGTCCAAAGAATCGATCCACAAAATAGGGGGGTTTGTTACCTGCTGCACAGTTTGGCCCTTGGTCACATATTCATTCCCCACTTTGACGCGGGGGTAGCAGAGGGCCTTGAGCAGGTCTGCTGAGTTCAGACCCATCAGGTAGGCAGCCTTGTCAGCAACTAAACATCAAAACAATCAGTTGTTAAGGTACCATTAAACATTACTGTTCCTTTAAAAAAATTAAAGGGCAATTCCAGTAAAAATAAAAAGATTAGTAAAGATAAAAAAGGGATAGATGTAAACAGTAGCATTCTTTGGGAGGCACTGGACCTAATTTTTTGCAATATTCAAAATTATCTGAAGGTTCCACTGAGTTGTGTTCCTCCAGAAAGGTCCTCTGTCTAGGACTGACTTCTATTCTAAAATACAGGCAAAGGCTGAGTCAATGATTGTGACTCTGACATGCTGCCTTTAACTTAG